TTCCTCCAAGAGATTTTAAAAGATGAGGGAGAAACAGACTTGTTTGATGGCAGGACCAGGCTGACCTGTCTCAGGGGACCAGCACGCCCACCCCCAGCCCCTATTTTAGGCACTTTCTGGCCACTGGAGTGTATTGGAGGAGACCAGGTTCAGGAGGGGGCATGGGACCCCCCCACACCTGGACTCTTTGCTGTCTTCCAAAAGCCCCCAGACAGTTTGGAGACTGGAAAACAGGAAGATGATGGCCTTTGCCAAAGTAACTTCCGGTTAGACCATGAAATTATTCTGTTTACGGATTTTATGGAGATCCGAAAATGCCACTAATCCTTCTTGTGGAGGGGCTTCAGGAAGCTCGCTGATAAAGATAGACTTAAAAATGGCTTCCTGGCAATAGTTTCAGATTAGAAATAGATAAACTGTTGATTAGAAACAGAATGAATGTGAAGTCTCTTCAAGATGCCATGAGAATATCTGGGAGCAAAATTCTTTTCTATAGGAATTGAAAAAACAAAGACATAAGCCCCAAGCATGTGGACTTTTGAGAATTACTTAAGAGGCACCTGAAACTCCAAATTAAAAGTAGCTTTTAGCAGACCCAGGAGGAGCAAAGCAGAATTAGTCAAAATCCTTTACGTCTTGTCTCTAGAGACAGACAAGAGAGTTTAGCCATCAGCCCTGCAGCCCACGGTCATGGCTGGGGCACAGAGCCTTGTGATCCCAGCTTCACCCCTGAGCAGCTTTGCGACCCTGGGCAAGCGACTGAACTCCCTCAGTCTTCTCATCTGGGAAATGTGAATAATAATAACAGCACCCTCTCTTATAGGTGATGGTGAAGATCTACAGGTCGGACGCAGGCGAGCACTGGGGTCAGGCTATCTGGCACAGACCAAGAGCTGATGCACATTCACCAGGAATGTCATGATGTTTCTGCTACTTTCATTTTGAACCGAGGATTTTCTGTGGCGACAAGATATTCAGACATTGAGGAAGAGCTCCTTCCGGGGGCGGGGGCAAGGCAAGTGTTGCCCAGGAGTATCCAACTTGGGAATTTAACTCCTGCCTGTACTTTGAGTCTGTCTTCTGACCTTGAAGCTTCCCCAGGGATGCTCTCCTGTCCCCAGCTTCCCAAAGCAGATGTCGCCCCTGCCTATTTTGCCAGCTCATTTCATTCTGTCTTAGATTTTCCTTTCACTGTCTCCCAGGAGCGGACTCTGTCTCCCCAGCTGGACTGTCTGCTTCTCCCAGGTTCAGCCCACACCATGCAGCCCGCTTCCTGCCTCTCAGAGCTGGACAGACAGTGTGTACACGGCAGACAACCAAACACAGCCACAGTGTGTGTGTGTGTGTGTGTGTGTGTGTGTCTGTGTCTGTGTGTGTGTGTGTGTGTGTGTCTGTGTGTGTGTGTGTGTGTGTGTCTGTGTGTGTCTGTGTGACTGTGTGTGTGTGTCTGTGTGTGTGTCTATGTGTGTGTCTGTGTATGTGTGTGTCTGTGTATCTGTGTGTGTGTGTCTGTGTGTGTGTGTCTGTGTGTGTGTCTGTGAGTGTGTCTGTGTGTGTGTGTCTGTGTGTGTCTGTGTGTGTGTGTGTCTGTGTGTCTGTGTGTGTCTGTGTGTGTGTCTGTGTGTCTGTGTGCGTGTCTGTGTGTGTGTGTCTGTGTGTCTGTGTGTGTGTCTGTGTGTGTGTGTCTGTCTGTGTCTGTGTCTGTGTGTGTGTCTGTGTGTGTGTCTGTGTGTCTGTGTGCGTGTCTGTGTGTGTGTGTCTGTGTGTCTGTGTGTGTCTGTGTGTGTGTCTGTGTGTCTGTGTGCGTGTCTGTGTGTGTGTGTCTGTGTGTCTGTGTGTGTCTGTGTGTGTGTCTGTGTGTCTGTGTGCGTGTCTGTGTGTGTGTGTCTGTGTGTCTGTGTGTGTCTGTGTGTGTGTCTGTGTGTCTGTGTGCGTGTCTGTGTGTGTGTGTCTGTGTGTCTGTGTGTGTCTGTGTGTGTGTCTGTGTGTCTGTGTGCGTGTCTGTGTGTGTGTGTCTGTGTGTCTGTGTGTGTCTGTGTGTGTGTCTGTGTGTCTGTGTGCGTGTCTGTGTGTGTGTGTCTGTGTGTCTGTGTGTGTCTGTGTGTGTGTCTGTGTGTCTGTGTGCGTGTCTGTGTGTGTGTGTCTGTGTGTCTGTGTGTGTCTGTGTGTGTGTCTGTGTGTCTGTGTGCGTGTCTGTGTGTGTGTGTCTGTGTGTCTGTGTGTGTCTGTGTGTGTGTCTGTGTGTCTGTGTGCGTGTCTGTGTGTGTGTGTCTGTGTGTCTGTGTGTGTCTGTGTGTGTGTCTGTGTGTCTGTGTGCGTGTCTGTGTGTGTGTGTCTGTGTGTCTGTGTGTGTCTGTGTGTGTGTCTGTGTGTCTGTGTGCGTGTCTGTGTGTGTGTGTCTGTGTGTCTGTGTGTGTCTGTGTGTGTGTCTGTGTGTCTGTGTGCGTGTCTGTGTGTGTGTGTCTGTGTGTCTGTGTGTGTCTGTGTGTGTGTCTGTGTGTCTGTGTGCGTGTCTGTGTGTGTGTGTCTGTGTGTCTGTGTGTGTCTGTGTGTGTGTCTGTGTGTCTGTGTGCGTGTCTGTGTGTGTGTGTCTGTGTGTCTGTGTGTGTCTGTGTGTGTGTCTGTGTGTCTGTGTGCGTGTCTGTGTGTGTGTGTCTGTGTGTCTGTGTGTGTCTGTGTGTGTGTCTGTGTGTCTGTGTGCGTGTCTGTGTGTGTGTGTCTGTGTGTCTGTGTGTGTCTGTGTGTGTGTCTGTGTGTCTGTGTGCGTGTCTGTGTGTGTGTGTCTGTGTGTCTGTGTGTGTCTGTGTGTGTGTCTGTGTGTCTGTGTGCGTGTCTGTGTGTGTGTGTCTGTGTGTCTGTGTGTGTCTGTGTGTGTGTCTGTGTGTCTGTGTGCGTGTCTGTGTGTGTGTGTCTGTGTGTCTGTGTGTGTCTGTGTGTGTGTCTGTGTGTCTGTGTGCGTGTCTGTGTGTGTGTGTCTGTGTGTCTGTGTGTGTCTGTGTGTGTGTCTGTGTGTCTGTGTGCGTGTCTGTGTGTGTGTGTCTGTGTGTCTGTGTGTGTCTGTGTGTGTGTCTGTGTGTCTGTGTGCGTGTCTGTGTGTGTGTGTCTGTGTGTCTGTGTGTGTCTGTGTGTGTGTCTGTGTGTCTGTGTGCGTGTCTGTGTGTGTGTGTCTGTGTGTCTGTGTGTGTCTGTGTGTGTGTCTGTGTGTCTGTGTGCGTGTCTGTGTGTGTGTGTCTGTGTGTCTGTGTGTGTCTGTGTGTGTGTGTCTGTGTGTGTGTCTGTGTGTCTGTGTGTGTGTGTGTGTGTCACCATTAGCTCTTTCCTCCCTCTTCCTTCTCCTGATAATGACAACAGTTACAATCAGAGTCACAGTGAACGCTCGGTTACCAAGAATCTTCTATGCCTGGCACTGAACTCAACTCTTTAAATGCCTCTTCTCACCCTAACCCTCAACGAACCCACGGGAGCAGATGTGTTTGGGGCAGGGGGGCTGCTGAGGGAACTGGGAAGAGAACAGTCACACCCAGGTGCCCTGCAGCCACCGCCCCCCCGCCGCAAGTTCGGAGCACTCTGTGCAGAGACAGTTAAGTCCAGGGCCTGGCACGTACGATACCAACCCCACTCTTCCCAGCAGGATCTCACTGACGCCCAGTCTCCCTGCATCAGACTCTAGGATGGGAGGCTTGTCCTTCTGGGGGCACAGTTGGAACCCCTCCCCTCAGGTGCTTCTGACGTGCCCCTCCAAGAAAGACCACAACCCACGGTGAGAAATACCTATTGCGACCCAGGCACGATCTCGGGGATTTTTATGAAATGTGTTTACATTCACGTGAGGCACTCCAATGTTTTCCACCCTATTTCATTCTTCCGTTAAAAATGAGAACGAGGAGAAGTTGGAACCCATATACATCACTGGTAGGAATGTAAAATGGTCCGGTCTCTTTGGGAAACAGTTTGGCACTTCCTGAAAACCTTAACTACAGACTTATCATGTGACCTAGAAATTCTGCTCCTTGTATCCAAGAGACGGGAAAACATACGTCCACACGAAAACCTGAACACGATGCTCCTTAGCGGATCATTCACAGGAACCAAAAGGCAGAAATAAACCAGACGCCCACCAGCAGGTGAACGAATAAACAAAACGTGATGTATATCGTATAGTGGAATACAGCTCGGCCATGAAAAAGGAATGAGGCGCCGATCTCTGGACAATATGGGTGAGACCTGAAACCAACAGGCCAGGTGGAAGAGGCTGGTCACAAAGCAGCACAGATCGTACAGACATGAACCGTCCAGAGAGGGCAGATCTGCAGAGACGGAGGCAAGACGGTGATGGGCGCCGGAGGGGAGGGTGGAGGAGGGAAGAGGGGGCGTGGGGTCTGCTTTGGGGGGATGGGTTATCTCTCAATAAAAATGATGGTCGTGATCCAACAAGCTGATCTCATCACCCGGAATGGGTCACAACACGGTGGAAACTTGCTGGAGTGGCTGCCCATCCCTGCCCTGCCTGTCCCAGGGGAGTTAGGGGGCCGCGGCCTTCGGGTGGGTGGCAGGTGGCGGGTGGAGGGGGCGAGTCAAGGCCCCGTGCCTGCCTTTCACGCAAGGCCCCTGTGCCGCACACGCTCAGCACAGGCCCAGCTACGAAAGCAGGTTCCCTCTCTAGCTGCTGGGCGGCCCCAAGAGCTGAGCTATAGGTGAGATTCCGGGGGAGCCTGGAAAGGAGCTGACAGCCCCTCCTCCTGCCTCGAGCCCACAGGTGAGGGCTCGGCCTCCAGAAGCCACCTGTGACCTCGGTGGAGGGCAGGCCCGGGGCTGGTGAAGCAGGGACAGAAGAGCCTGGGTCCCCGACGCCCCTGGAGGCCCCGCGGCTGCCAGCCCCGCACTGTCTGTATGAGCAGCCAAAGGACCCTCTAAAGGAGGCGCCATCTGGCAAATACATGAGCCCAGGACACAGCGGCTCCCCTGCCCTGGGTGTCCGGGGGGAGTGACAGGCCACGTACCTCGTGATCTTAAATATCCTCAGGAGGCGTACGCATCTCAGCACGGAGATGCCCAGCGGCGACATGACCTTGGTCTCCACCAGGATGGTCTCCAGGATGCCGCCGCACACGACGAAGCAGTCGAAGCGGTTGAAGAGAGACACGAAGTAGGCCTGCAGCCCCAGGCTGTACGTCTTGAGCAGCATCTCGGCCGTGAACAGGGCCAGCAGCGCCTTGTTGGCCGTGTCTGGGGGGATCCACACGGGGCAGAGGAGGTGAGCGTGGCGGATCCCCGCGGGGAAACCCCAAAGCTCGATCCCGCCACACGCCCCTCCCTGCATGGACTTGGTGGGGAGGGGCCTAGTTACAACCGCAGCAAACCCCCAGCATGGCCCCTACCCCCTGCCCCCTCTGCCTCTCACAGCGACTCTGCCAGGTAGCAGGGCTGCTGCCACGCCCACTTCCAGAGACGAGAAGTGAGGCGCGAGGGGCAGCCATCTGCCTAGACCGACCAGCCAAGAGCCGGAGCCGGGGTCCTTGTCTGCCCTTGCCACCGGGAGACGAGCCCCATCTGGGTTCCGGGAGATACCCCGGGTCCAGGCCGTGTTCGCCTGACCCCTGGGTCGGTTCCGGGGCTCTGGCCAGGGAGATCCCTTCCGGGGCCCAGGGAGGGGTGGTGGGACCCACTGCCGTCGAGGACATTCCCTGTGCTCAGGCCACACTTGTCCTCTCCCTGGCTTTGTGCTCTCTGCCCCTCACAGGTTTGGCCAGCACACCTGGAGGCCATACTGAGGCCCCAGGTACTGAAAACCCACTGCAGGCAGAGGGTCGGTAGTCAAAGATCTGATGTAGCCCGACAAGCCAGAGCTCGCGACCGTGTCTCCTGGACCCAACGGTGGCGGGGGGTGTCGCCTGGCCAGGGGAGCCCCATCTGTGTAGAGTGAGCTGGTGTGGTTTTTTTTTTTTTTTTGTTCAACTTGAATTTTAAAGAGAATCTTATAAGTTTGATATATCTGAGACCCAGGTGAATTGCTGGTTACCTTATTTTTATTTCAAGGTTCTTTTTGCGGTACGCGGGCCTCTCACCGCTGTGGCCTCTCCCATCGCGGAGCACAGGCTCTGGACGCGCAGGCCCAGCGGCCACGGCTCACGGGCCCAGCCGCTCCGCGGCATGTGGGATCCTCCCGGACCGGGGCACGCACCTGCGTCCCCCGCATCGGCAGGCGGACTCTCAACCGCTGCGCCACCAGGGGAGCCCAAGAGCTGGTGCGTTTGAACGGCTCACGAGCTGCCAGGCCGCGGTGTGTCCGGCGTGGCCCGCCCCGGGGCAGGGCCGAGTCAGCCCGAGTAACGCGGGCCGGCCGGGCGGCCTCTCACCTTGGACTTCCGTGAGCCAGTGGGGCTGGTTGTAGTGCTCAGAGGCGATGGTGAGCGTGTTAAGGAAAACCAGGAAGATGACAAGCCAGTAGAAGGCGCTCGACTTCACGGCCGCGCGGCACTTCCTCCTGCAGAAGCGATTCCACCGGCGCCAGTAGCGGCTGCAAAGGGGCAGAGGAGGAGGACGGGGCGGGAGGCGGCTGTGAATTCAGGTCCCCGGCCGACATGCCCCAGGGTGGCCACCTCCCTCCCCTGAACTGGCCCGACCTCACCAGGGCCGAAGAGACGAGCGTCCCACCAAGGTCACCGGCTCGTGGCTGGTGGCGTGGCCTTTGCGGGCGGTCCCTGCTCCTCTGGGACCGTGGCCCCCTGGCCTGTGACCCCGAGCAAGGCCAGCCTTGTGTGAGGGTCTGGCCTAAAGCCGAAGGGAGGTTATTTAATTTCATAGTAACGGCCTCACTAGACGTATTGCAAGTCGTAAGACGAGTATTACTAGGACTAGTAATGGTCACCATTAGCGAACCCCATGTCTGGCTGGTACCATATCAGCACTTCTCATGCCTTCTCCCAGATCCTTTAAACACGTCTGCAAAGCAGGTGTTGTCCCGATTTTCAGGAGAAAACCAAGGACCCTGGAGTTGGGCGTCTGGACTGACACCGGGTGAGGGCAGAGCCAGCGGCGTCCCCTCCCACTGCCTGCAGCCCAGGCGCCAGGCGCTCCCCTAGCTGCCTCATCCGTGAAGAGTGGGAGGTGAATCTGGACCAGACGTGCTTGCCTTGAAGGGGAGGCTGTGGAGTCCTTTGAGATTACATCCTCTGTTCAGAACAACGGGCAGACTGCCCCCACCTCTACACGCAAGTTCACACCATATGTGGGCCCTGAAAGCTCATCCATGGGCCGCGGGACACTCGCCCCCATGGCCTCTGGTTAGGGACTTTCATCAAACCTGGCTGTACATAGAACCACCTGGGGAAAGTTAAAAAAAAACAACAAACACACACACCAGGCCTCGGGCCCCAACCCAATAAAATCTGATTGTCTGGGGTTGAGTAATTTTTAAATAACCCCCAAATACCGTTGCTGTTTGCTAAGGTTCCCCAGATGGTTCTCATGTGTAACCGTGGTTGACAACCGTGAAGCCAGATGACCCCAAGGAAATGCTCACATTTTAGAATTCAGTGGTGACGGGTTTACAGCTTGCCCCCAGTTTCATCCTCCTGATACCGAGAGAATGTGCAGATATATTTGGTAATTCCGTTGACCAAACAGTTACCAGTTTAACACCATGTGAGGAGGGAAGGACAGGGGTGCCAGGGAGACTGCGGGGGCCCTGTATCGAGAGGGGATCTGATTCCAGAAAACCAAACACAACGAGAGCAGGCACACGGTCAACGTCCAGCTGGGGGATGGTAAGAGGGTGCCGTGGCCAGCGTCGGGCTGGAGGTGATGGAGGCCACAGCTTTACTCACGGAAGGAGAGGGAGGCGACGTGGACTTTGGAGGCGGAGTCAGCAGGCCCTTGACCCTGGCCACGAGTGCGGGGGAGAGAGAAAGGGTGGAGGGGTGTCTGGAGGAGGCCCTGTCACCAGCATGGGTGCCCTGCGGAGGGGGGCTCGACCGGAAAACGCCTTGAGGTACTTGCAGGTCGTGTCCGTAGGGACACCCGCTGGGCGGCTGAGGACAGAGCTCCCGCTTTGGGACAGAAGGCGGAGCGGGTGGTGGTGATGGCTGTCGTCCTGGACACCTGCACTCATATCTGCATGAAGTCACAGGTCGCCAGGTCCCCAGGCTCAGGACTCTGTTGTCAGTACCCTCCACACGCCCCAGATGGCCTTCCAGAGAGCTTGACTTTATTTATATTTCTACTCTGTTATTTTTGTTACCTACGGCTGTGGGAAATCCTGCTGCCACACCTTTGTTGAAATCTGTTCTGAGATTAGAAAGCGAGGGGCACATCTAAGGTGGGCCTTGCTGCCTGGGAGCTGCAGGAGGACCTGGCTTTGGCTTGTAGGGCAGGGAGGGAAGAAAGGATTAAGGGGGTGGTGTTCTGACCTGACCTCACCCCCGTCACTGAGGGGGCGGGGACGCCACCTCCAGGGAGCACCAAACCTTGGCAGGGACGTTTGCTGCCACCGGTGGGGAGAGTCGCTACATGGAGAAGAAAGGCCTGGGGATCAGAAGACAGTGGTTCCCAATGCACTGTGGAGGCTTCCATGCTCCAGACGCACCACCGGGCGACAGAAAGGGTGGCGGAGGGCGCAGGGGGGAAAAGGCAATGGGACGGGGCCCAGGTGGTCCCTAGTGGGGGGGCGGCCTCTGGCGGTGCTGGACCACGGCGCTCAGGCACCTGCTCTCGCCAGGGCGGGACCCTGCTTCTCTCCTGCGATCGAGCTTGGTGATATTGCAGACAAAGTTGGTAAGACTTTTTTTTCCCCCCGAAAAACGAGTTTTCAGGACAAACTCATATCCAGTCTCAAAATAGCGTCAACTACCAATTGGCACTTGCCATCTGCCTCTACAAGGATTAAATCATGAGCTGCTGCAGCTGCTGACCTTCGACACCCCCTGAAAGGAGTTCAGGGTGGAGATCAGGAATGAGGCCCTCTGTGCTCTGGGAAAAACGAACTTCTCTTATTTACAAAAACACTAAGATCCTTCATGGTGACATCTGCTGCCCGTGACTAGCAGAAACCTTCACGAGATGAGCAGAAACCTTCTGCAGAAAATATGTGCTGGATTGTATGTACTCCCCCTTCAAAAAAATCACATATGTACTGACTTTCCCCCTGCCTCTTAGGAGTAGTTTCTCAGTTATCCGAGATGCTGTTTCCTGGGCTGTAGTCCTCATTTTTCCCCGAATAAGACTTAACTCACAACCCTCACATTGTGCATTTTTTTAAGTCGGCAATAGGTTACACTGTAGTTGCAAAGAATGTTTTGAATAGAGACAAGCTCATTTACAAAAGTCACCAATAATTGTGATTCGGAGGCCAAAGGAATCACGGTGGCTTTCTTCCACATTTTGGAGGAACCGACTCCAACTCTGTCTCACACCCAGAACTTGACTGCGCTCTTCCCCAAGTTTGGGGCTGGTGGATGCAGGTGCCACATCCCGGGGTCTGGAGCTGCTCTGCTGGAGGCCCTGCAGCTGCAGCTGTGATGGACGGGGTGACACCCGTGGAATCGTGCGCTCCCGAGACAGCCACTCAGGAGAGCCACGTGGGTTCAGGCCGGGGCGGGGGTGGAGTAATTACCATGCAGAGAAAGTATTTAAAGATAATTACACACCTCCCACCCTTCAAAATATAGCTTTGCTTGACAACTGGTTTCCTGGCAACGCTTCCTACTGTACAATAAATGCAATGGTTTATTAGAATGTGTAAATGCATTTGTGTGTTTACATATGCACGGAGCATATAGAAATTAAATGATAAAACAGGGAGGAGGAATTTGCCTGCTATTCACGTTCCCTTCACCCTCACTGGGAAAGTTGTTCCCTCAAGAAGTGGAACTTCCCGGACACAGACCTGGAGGTGATGGCGGGCACGGACATGTCTCTCGCCCATCTTCAAACCCGTGCGTTGCTGCGTTCCCACTGGACAGCTCTGCTCGCTCGCCTGGACCCGCCTGACCCCTTCCCAGCACCGGCCCGGCTCCTACCTTTCCATCGACACGGCTGTCCCCCCACCAAGCCTCCCCTTCTGGGTCCCCCCACCAAGCCTCCCCTTCTGGGTCCCCCCCCTCTTGCTTTAGGGCTCAGCGGGGGCTCCAGCTTCCCGGCGGTGCACTTTTCTAGACGTCCCAGCTGCCAAGTTCCAGTCACACTTACTGTCCGTGTTGCTCACTTAGCTACACGTTCAGGAAACATTTATTGAAACATCTTCCCTGAGCCAAGTACTAGCTATTCAGCTTAACACGCAGACGGGAAACTCGGGTCGGTGATAAGGACCCCGAGGGTGCCGTGTGCCAGGCGGGCTTAGTAGAGGGGCCCGAGGGGCACGTAGAAGGGCATCCCAGCCCACCGTGGGGTGCCAGCCAGCCTCCCCAGAGGACGCGATGCTCCGTTTCCTGTAGGTCAGCATCTTTACTGTGTGACTCCAGCTTCTCCACTGAGATCGCAGGGTCCTGAGGGGAAGGGGCTGCGTCCTGTCCTTTGTGATGGGCTCACAGCCCACCACTGTGGTCTTACACAGTAGGACCACTGGGCCGGCAGGCAGGTAGGGCAGCAGAGACAAACTTTACACACACTTACTCACTCCGCGTTGTGGACGGGGCTTAGGACCCCCGCGGATGGGGTCTGGAGGAGGGGGCAGTGCTCCTGAAGGAGTTTGCTTGGCACAGAATTTTGGACAAGCATCTAGAACAGGAGACAGCACCCAAATGGTGGACACTTGGGGCTCTTTCCAGTGGCCAGAGCTGAGAACAAGCAACCCAGAAAATCCTTAACATTTAACTATTTTACACGAAAGTAACCAAAAAATGGGTTATTAGTGACTGGGGCTAATGCCTTATTGCTTTATGCCATCCATAGGCAATATGCCTTATTGCTTATGGGACGGCAGAGGTAAAGGGACCTCGGAGGCACATTCCTCTGAAGACGGGCGAGACAGGGCTCCCAACCTCAGACCCCCGAGGGGTTCACTTCAGACCGCTGTGACGTCCAGATCCAAAGCCCCAACATGTTATCTGACTAATCCCTTCAAGCTGCAGAAGGTGCTCAGAACCGTTTGTTCCGTAACTGTTAGTCCTATTCTGAGCCCCAAATGTTGCAAAATTCCTTATTCCTCAAAGTAGAGACTTGGCTTACCAAGGGAATACCCTAATATTGCCCTAATATTGTAAGTCCATTAATTTGCCAAAATTTCCCTAAAACCTCTGCTCTAATATTTCCTTTAAAGACCCTGTGACTTTGTATCCCTGTCTTGCAAATGGAATAGGCCAGTTTGAGGCTCAAATTCTATTATTTGTCATTGTTAAGCTGAGAAAATGAGCAAGAATGCTTTGTGTGTGTGTGTTTAACTCAAATTTTAGATTCTTTTCTAGGGTAAAACAGGCTCTTGACTGTTTATGAGGTTACTTCTGAGTTGCAGAAATTCTCTTTCCGTTTCCCCTGTGTTACTGTGTTTTTCTCCTGCGCCTCCTATACCCGTGTGAGCTGCCACAATCAGACAGACAGAAGGGCTGAGGACACCGTTCCTGCGTCTGCAGCAGACAGAGGTTTCTCAGGGTCAACCTTGGTGATTTCGATGGCATTTTCAATCCACTGCCAGCCTTTGTTATTCCCTAAACAGACACCACCACTGGACTGTAGGGTGTAGATGAGGCAGCTGCCACCTGACCCTGTGGGGTCACACTGTCCAGTGTGGTAGCCACTGGCCACCTGTGGCTACTGCACACCTGAAACATGGCCAGTCCAAACTGAGCGTGCAGTGAGTGTAAATGACACACTGGATTTCAAAGAAAAATTAATATAAAATATGTCATTCATTTTTTATATTAATTACATATTGAAATAATGTTTTTGACGCACTGCCTTAAATAAACTATATTAAGGTGAATTTCACCTGTCCCTTTTCACTTTTTTAACATGGCTACTAGAAAGTTTTACAAAGGGTGTAAGTGTCTGGCATTGTGTTTCTAACTCAACAGCTGTGCCCTGGAGCGCCTCCGACCCCTCGCTGCAGCCCCTAGACACAGAGCTGGGCAGAAACGGCTTCAGATCCCTGGGCAGGACTTCATCACATGGTGCAGAGCCCGGGTCCTGGGCGTGGGTCCTGACTTGGCCAAGTGTGAGCCACGTGGCCCCGGGCCTCTTTCAGCCTCAGTATCCCCCTCTGAAAATACGTTTACTGATGGTGCCAACTGACTAGTAATAAGCCTTCTGGGAATGAATAGAGAATCTTCCCTGTGTATTTCTGTTGTATCTTGAGTAGTAGCTGCAGGGGGAGGAGCCCTTCCCAGAGGGGGATCTGGTACCAGCAGGTTGAGCCACGTCTCAAAACGGAGCAGAGTCCAGGGGTCCACGTGGACCCCCGTGCCCCCGCTTCTTCGAGATCACAGCTTACTCCCTAGAGCACTGGATACAGAACGGCCCCTGTCTCCTGGGTCATCTCATGCTGGAGCGAGTCCAGGCAAGTCTGTGATTTCTCTTCCACCCGCCAGAGCACGTTTGTTCATTCATTCACTCACATATTCATTTGTTCATTTATGAGTCACCCATTTTCATGTAATGAGAATGATGTTTCGGAAATATTTTCAAATGTATTTTTATATCCCTTTACTCTCTTCCTGCATGGGGGCTTTGGAACTGCCAGAAGCACAAAGTGCTTTCTCAGCTTTGGCTGTAAAACAGAACTTTCATTTCAGTCTGCCTCAAGCCTAATGCCATTCGGGGGCAGGACAATCCATTCGTCCCTTCACTTAGTATTTATTAAGTCCCCACTAAGTGCCAGCCGCTTCTCCAGATGCTGGAGAGAAAGCAGTAAGGTCTGAGCGTTACAGAGACAAAGGATTTTCTACATTTCTTGAGCTCTCTCTCCTGTAACAAGAGCTGGACCTGGGAGACTTGACCCTAGGTTTTTTATGTGAAGGAGGTCTTGGCTTCAGAGGAAGTGGAAGGGGAGAAAGCCTGCATTTTCCAGCCCCAGTGGAACATGGGAGCAGAAAGTGACAGCAGGAGAGGAGAGGGTCCCACACCAGCATCCTCATTTAATTCCCTGGCCGAGTGCCAAGCTCTAGAAACAGCCAGATAGTCACGGGGAGGCCAGGACATCAGGGCTGAAGGTGCCTCTCCTGGGTGTAGCACAGGGTCTGCGGGGCCCTGGGGGACGCCAGCCTTCGGCCTAGAGCTCTACCCAGGCAGGCACAGAGCGGGACAGGCGGCCGGCACATAGGTGAGCGTCCAGTTCCCGCAGCCGGTCCACGGAGGGCCTGGAGGTGTCCATGGGCTCAAAGAGCCTGGGGACCAGAGACCAGAGGCAATGATTTCAAGGCCAGAGGCAAACGTGGGGCCCACGGACACGGTGGGTGGAGGCCCAACCAGATGGACTTGTGGCCCCCTCGGCAGGCCCGGTTCTAGAGGAACAAGCAGGGGTCTCGGGCTGGACCCCAGGACCGGTCCTCACTGAGGCCTGGGTACTTCCAGGGTCTTGAAGTCCCGGCCCTGCTTCTCCACCCTGGGGAAGAGCTGGGCAGAGGAAAGAAGAGAAACTGAGCATTTAGCTTAAGGGACAGTTTAAAATGCAGCCTTGGGCTACACTGCTCGGCTGGACTAAAATTTAATGTTACCTATGCTCCTGCTACACAGGAGGTGAGGCTGGGGAAGCAGGATTAGATCAAAGACGAAACCTAAACACAATAGTTTTTGGCTCGTACAGGCTTTGTGGGAGTGAATTCCCACCCCTACTCACATATCTGTCCATCCAGTACACACGGTGGACAGCCTGCTACCCGCCGGGCGCCCGGCTCAGCTCCCTGAAAATAGCACGTCGGAGGCTCACGGAGCCTATTGCAGACACGGGAGCCCGTGTGGGGAGGGCGATGACAGAGGTCTGAGCAAAGCGCTGCGGGGAGGGAGGGGAGTTTGCAGAAGGTGTGGAGATGCGGTACCAGCGAGGTTCTGAACAGGAGCCCGAGCTCTCCGGGGGAGGCTCGGGGACGCGGCGATTCAGGTGGAAGGAGGCCTCCACGCAAAAGCCTGGACGTGCGAGAGGACGGGGGACGTTCAGGAACCGCGGGATGCGCAGGCGGCGAGGCTGGAGGGGCAGACAGGGCGAGGACAGGGCACCGAGGAAGGTTCTGAGGCAGCACCGTCAGAACCCGCGTGCCCTCACCTTCCATAGACATGGCCGAGAACAGCAGCAAGTGGCCACGTGGCACTTACTTCAACCGGACTTCACCTTATAAGGGCGGGGGACACAGCATCTCGCAACCTCCTAGGGCCAGTGCCACCAAAATCACTAACTCGCCAAACCCCAAGGCCGGAGCCACTCGCCTGGTCTGATCCCTGAGCCTCTTCCTGAGAGCTGTGCGGCAGGAAAGCAGACCCTCTGCTGACCCTCCCTCAGCCCCCAGCCGGGGTGTCCCCAGCCCAGCAGGAAAGGAGCATCTCACTCACCTAAACTTCGACTTGGAGATCCTGTGGCTGAAAGAAAAAGAGGAGACATCACCAAAGGACACACATTCCCTTCTTTTCTCAGACGTCTGCAGGTGACCACGCGGGCGCTGGACGGGGCAGCTTCGGAGAGACAGCCCTGCGGTCAGCACGTCCTGGTGTCTGTGTGTTTGAAGGGGAGACCGAGGGCTGGCCCAGCCCACTAACCTACGAATCTAGCATCTTCTAAGTGGAGACATGGCCCCCGGAGAGGCTGCCGTGTTCTCAGACCGTCAGCTGGGGTCGGGCAGCAGGTTGGGGGCCACGCCCTGAGAACAGTCGGGGAGGACAGGAGCCCCTCCTGCAGACGCGGCCCTCAGACATTGCAGGCGGGAACAGGCTGGCAGAGGCCCAGCGCTGTCTGAACAGGAGCCTGGCCCCATCACCACCTGGCCTGAGCGTGGAGCCTGGGCCCAAGAAAACAGCCCGGGGCTGAGCACAGACCCCGGATGCTGGCAGTGGTGTGCAGCCCTAAAGACCTGGGGACTTGTGGACAGAAACACTGGTGGGTGGGCTGGTGGCTGACTCGAGGGGCATCTCCGGGGAAGGGGGGTGGGTACTGAAAGGTGGAAACTTCCAGGAGGCCCTGCGGCCCGTGGGAGGCTGGATGGAGCTGGGCTGGGGGCAGAGATCATGCAGGCACCTGAGATGGCCCTGCGGAAGGCCACGTGTCGGGAAGGCCCTGGTGTCTGGGGAGTGAGCGCTGGCAGGGCCGCGGGTGGGAGACCGTGCTCTGACGGGCAGGCAGGTGCGGAGCGCCGGTCAGAGATGAAGAGGGGACAAAATCCACCTGCCCCAGCTCAGCACAGAGAGAGCTCTGCTGCGAAGCAAGAAAAGAGCCCCTCTTGCTATTTTTTATTAAAAAATATAAACCAGAAGATTTGACAGGTGGCAGAGCCATCGTGCGTGAGATAATTATGTCTCTGGGGCACTGAGAACCAGAGCCAGGAGCCTTTACGGCTCCGAACCGCCAGCTGATAACCTTTCCCACCCAAAGACGCTGGCGAGGGCTGCAGGGTTTTTAATCACGTTACACGGCACGTGGGCAGAGGCCGGGGGCCATGGTTGGCATCTTACTTAGGGCCACAGTTTAATGGAAAAACAAATGTCTTCCAGCTGCGCTTGGATGGTGGTGAGCCGGGGGCTCCCTCCTCTAGCCCAGCCAGGCTTGCTGGACAGCTGATCCCTCGCTGAGGGACATGAGCTAGCATGGGCGGTCATCAGCCTGGCAGCTCTGCCACAGGGCCTGGCCCGGCCCCGCCTTCTCTCGGAGATTTCCAGATGCCTCTCGGGGGCCCTTCAGTGCAGACCACACGCCCTCCCTATAACTCTCCCTCTCAGTCCGGTGGGTCGTCAGCAAAGGTGGGTTCTTAAGAAGTCCCGTGTGGGGCACTGAGGTCGGAGTGTCCACGTCTCCCAGGCAGCGACTCTGGGATGTGGCGCGGGAGGACCAGGGCTCCTGTTGGGGATGACGTCCTGGGTAAGCGTGGTCACTGGCTATGGCTCCTTCCTGGGTGTTCTGGAACGTTCTGAGGCAGAGGAAATGGAGTGGGACTTTCTCTCCCCCGTGGTTACGTGTCCTGATGTGCGATCCTGGATGCCACACTGCAGCCCGACTGCTGTTACTGCTCTCAGGTTGTGAGCATCGTTCCAGGCTCGCTGGGTCCAAAGCACTCACCCCTCCAAGCTCTGTATTACTGGAGCACCCCAGGTAAGAAGCGGGGGTCCTCGGGGGCACGTGTCTGGAGACAAAGGGAAGCCCAGGTATGGGAGAGCGGAGGGCCTCACACTCCCCGTGTAGGAGGGGTCAGTGCGCTTCGTGGGACCAGGGGCACCCAGTCTCCGCAACCTTCGTGTCCTGGGAGGTGACCACCAGCTCGGGGTTTGGAGAGCTGGTCACGCTGCCGGTGGGCAGGGGAGCCGGGAGCCTGCGGGTGCCGTGTCCGCCGCCCCAGCCCTGTGTTCCGGCCGGGTGGTGGGTGCTGCCCCCTGGATCCCAGCGAGTCCACAACACCGGGGGTCCGGCTGCTCCAGACCCTGCTGGGGACCAGCCTGCTCAGAGGCGTGCGGGCTCCCCTCAGTTACTGCTCTACAAGGTATGATTTCCTCCCCGTGTTTCCCGTGGATTCTCGAAGAGCAGCAGGTGCAGAAAGTGGGTAACTCGCATGTAAGGCCGCGAGCGCAGCCCTGCTGGGTGGACCTGGCCCTTTTCCAGCCCAGCTGCCTCTTCCCCTCAGGCCTCCACAACCAACCTCCCAGGAAACCGCGGTTGTCTTTGCTGATGTGAAGGTTTAAAACGGGAGACACACCTGGAACTCCCTCTGCTTCACTCAGTTACTCAGTTTGCATTTGTCATTATTGGACAAATATTTGAACTTCTTGGGAGCTACTTGTATGTTTAGCCTTTCCGCTTCTTAGAGTCGTAAGCCCGTATGTTTGCTCCCTGCCGCGTGACACAGCGATTCCCCGAATCCTCCCGATTCGCCCTAACGTCGGTCAGATGGCGCTGCAGGCACCATCCAGGCTGACGCACGTCTGAGGCGACGTCCTCGACTCCACGCACGGCTGGTGCGGCCAGAGGAGCCGGACCCTGGACCCCTGTCACAGTCCACCTCTTGGGCACCCACTAGCTTGAACCTCCCGTGCTATCCGGGGACCCCTAGCTCACTTCTGTGACGAGATGCACGTCCGTCGGTATCATCAACCCTCTGCGCCGGATCCCGTTTCTGACTCTACCTTCTTTATAGAACTGTGCGCTCTGAGACTAAAGGGACCTCGCACACACCAGCTGGATTGGGGTCTGCCGTTTTACAAGGTGCAGCCTGCCTCACTCACGGGGCCTCTCTTGCAGAAGCCGCAGGCACAGAAGGGGTGCAGGCGGTCCCCAGGCCCCTCTAGGAGCCAGCGGGCAGCCGCCCTGCACGTCCCAGGGGGCGAGCCTGAGGTTGCCGCCCGGGCTCAGATCTGGGACTCCTGGTGCACGGCTCTCTTCCCTCCTTCGGTCCATCCCAGAGTACCGGGCACTTCTTTCTGTGGAAGTCCGTGTCTCCCTCTCTGACGCCAGCTGCGCCCTAGTCGCAGGCAATGTTGTCCCGTAAGTGCCGGTCTCCTTCATGGGCTTCTCGTCTTGAAGACGGTCCTGCCTCCGCTCTGAGCAAAGGGGAGGCCCAGCAGCTTCGGGGACACTGCCATTTCCCCGTCCACAGCCTCACGTCTGGAGGGAAGGTCCCCTGCGGCCCGCTCCCGCCCCGCCTGCCCCGAGGCTCCAGCTCCTGCAATTAGGACACACAGAGAATGCATCCCTTGTCCATCTCCGCACGTGACCCTGGCCTGAGCCGCGTCAGCATCACCCCCAGAGCTGCTACGGCAGCCGCTTTGCTCGAGTGCCCGCCACTCGGGGCTTCTCATTCCCGCACAGACTCTTCCTAATGTCCGAGGATCCTCAAGGATGGAAAGCTCACCAGACCAACCAGCTATGTTCCATGATTTCTCATGGTCTTGTGACAAAGACCAAGGCCGTCAAGGGCCTACCCGGCCCTGCTCCGTCTCCAGCCCCGCCCCTTCCCACCCAGGCCTGCCCTGGACGCGGCTGCCGTCTCTCCCTCGTCCCCCCAGCAGCCTCGGAACCCGTTGTCGCCTCTGACTGGAAGACCTTTCCTTCCTCCGCACCCCCCAGTGCTCAGCTCAACGCTCCTTCAAAGAAGCTTAGAGCGGCCACAGCCTAAGGCGCCTCTGCATCACGAACCCTGCGTTACAGTCACTCCACCTCCTGAACGCTTTTCCCAACTTACAGTGACGGCTCAGTGTCACTTTCACACCAGATTGTGAGCTCCAGGGAGATGGTGTCACCTTGCTCTCGGGCTCTGTGTCACCTTGGCCCAGCACCGAGCGGGCTTGCTGCCCGATGAGGGTGTGAACGGAGAGCTCGGGCTTGATGTTCCTCTCCCGGCGGCCTCCGGGCTTGTTCTTGGCACCTTTCCATCTGTACCTCCCTCTTTTCCTTCTGCGCGTCGGTTTCCCAGCCTTTAGCCCTGGCCTCTGCCCCCGTGGACAACCCCGGTGCCGCGTGACCGCATCCATCGCTTCTACGCTGGGGTCTCCAGCACGTGGTCCGGAGCGGAGCCCCGGCCTCCACTCCCTGCAGCCCCGCTGGCGACTTCAGTCTGTATCGCTTCTGTCTTCAGACTTGAAGGACAGCTCCTTCCCCTCACCACCTCCCCTGCCCGGCTGCCCCCCTCCCCAGCAAAACATTGCTTTGCGGGCCCTGTCTGTCCGCCCTGCCCCCCTCGGAACCATCTTCAGCCAGGCCTCATCCCGCTGCATGGGCCGTTCGCTCTCCGCTTCAGAAACGCTAGCCTCTCCCTGGTTGTCACAGCCTGAGCCTCAGCCCCCGCCCGTTCACGCTGCTCCCCACCAGGAACGCTGGCGGTCTTGTCCCATCGTTGTCTGGGGCGGGGCGGGGAAAGACGGTAGTTTGTTAAGGACATACTGCCATCCTGGTACTGCGACAAGGCACTTTATCCGCACAGAGTAGGTGCGTAAATTCGGATATCCATGGGGAGGGCGGCCCATTTCCACAGAGCCATGGACGCCTGCAGAGCACGTCCTCCAGATGCCCCCTCCCTCTGTGGGAACAGGCTTGTCCTTCCGACAGGGCCTCGAGCTCCCAAAACACACTCTCCAGTGACTGAGCGCCAGCGCCGCGGCCTCTCCTGGTCTGTCACGTGGGCCCAGAGCCAGAGGGCGGGGTCCTCATCACCTTCCTTCCGACCCTTTGGGGACCTGCCATCCACCTTCGCTAGCGTGGCCGCCCGGGGCCAACGTCCAGAATCCCGAGCGTTTGTTTGTATGGTTCCAACAGGAGGGAAGAGAGGGAAAGGCTCTGCCGCTGCTTCAGAACGTAACTAACACTGTATTTTAACAACATTTTGACGATAATTGCTTCCCAACAATGCTGGGAATCAGCAGTGCAGACTCCCTGGTGCCACTGTCAGGGTGAGGGATGGTGAGGCCCACGTGCCCTGGAAACAGTCTGCTCCGGCCCACCCGCCCCCTCGCTCGGAGGCTGGCCTGGCTCAGGTTAGATGTACCCAAACCTCCTGAAAAGGCCCCGATACGGAGGCATCTTGGCTGGGAGAGGTGAGCTAGGAGCCGTTCCACCGACGGAGCGACTCCGACGCCCAGCCACCTCGGGGCTGGTCCTCTTCCGAGCCCTCTGTGCGCCGCCCCTTTCGGTTTCTGGGGTGAGTCTTACATCTCCCAGGCACCAGGACAAGCAGCTCCCACTTCCCACCGTGGAGTCTGGAAGCTGCAGGAGGCCTGACGCTCAAGGTCAGCCTGACCCCTAGAGGAACATGGCTTCAATCTGTGGACTCTGCTTTTTGAGACACTGGGAATGAAACCAGCAGTTTGCTCATTTTTAGCAGTTAAACCCTTTTCCCTTTATTTCTTGGTGGGGGCACATCTCCCAGGGACCGCTGGTGTCCGTTTTTAAGATGGAGCTAAGACGGATGGATGATGGTGATAACCCACGTGGGCTGTCCCTCCGCACACCTGGCCCAGTCCTGGGCCCCAGTCAGCTCAGGAAGCCGGGGGCTGGGGCTTGTGCTGGGGAGGGTTGCTGGGCTGGCACAGGTGCACTTTTATTAGCTGAGTCTGCACTTCAGACACCTGTGCTCCCTTCACTGTGTGGGTAACTCAGAGCTGCAGGTAAGACCCACGTCTCCCAGTGCATTATCTTGCCTGTCTGCTTTTCTTCCAGGTCACATTTATCAGAAATGAAAGGGTGCTTAGCAGGACCCAGGGAACCTAACAAAGCTGCTCTGGTGAAAGGGGGTGAGGGGCTGGGAAGAAACAGACTTCAAAGCCCCCCAACACACACACACACATACACACACACACATTTCTCTGATGGGATGGAAAGGGGCTCAAAATCCCAAAGTCAGACCCCTGCCCGGGAAGCACAGGATTGCAGAGCAGCTCCCAGCCAGGGCCACACTGCCCCCAGGGCTCCCCTCTCCACCCAGGACTCAGTTTCCCTGCCCGCTCCCGCCCCCTGTGCCTACTCACGCCAGCCTGGCCCCACAGCTCTCTCCCTCGATGTCACCTCCAGCCACGTTTTCGGTGTTGACAGACTCGGTCTCACTGGTGGGCATGCTCACTGCAGGGTCGGGTCGAAGGGATGCAGAGCGAGGCGTGGAGGCAAGAGGGGAGAGAAGGGTTAGTCTGCAGCCCTCCGGCCGGGAGGGGAGGCCCTGGCAGCGCCCGGCCGGGTCCCATGTCCTCGACCGACATGCCCGCTGCCTGTCTAGGGTGACCCTTGCCACCCAGGACACTCTAAGTGGGATAGTGGGAGGAGACGCCTGGGAACACTGACCCGAGTCCCTCCCCTCCCCTCGACGCCCTGCCCTCAGAAAAGCTGCACATGCTTTCCCATTTGCGTCTGCTCCTCGCTGTAAAAAGAAGAGCTTTCATGACGGTATTTTATTTTTCTTATTTCTTCCCAACCCCCCTCCCCATTCTAAGGGGCTTCATCCCCACACTTAGGGCCCAGCCTGTCTGTGGAAAGGGCTTCTCTAGGGGGTGAGCCACTTGATGGATCTGGAGGAGGGTCTGTCCCTTGTCCTGAGTCCTGCATGCTGGGTCCTGAGGCGATTCCGTCTAGGACAGAGCCTGAAATAGAGCTCAAAGGGAACAGCCATTTCCAGCATCCCGTGCAGGATTCAGGTCAGCACTGCAGACACAGGAGCGAGGAGTCTCCGTGTGGGACCCACCGAACTACTGAGATGAGATGTGGCCTGAAGACAGACGGCAAGAAAACCACCTCCCCACGGCATCCTGATGTTTCCATGTCAACAGGCCAAGCTGGGACACAAACCGTCCAAGTCCACTGTAGCCGGCCTGCCCATCCCATCCCCAGGCTCTTCCTGGATTTCCAGGGCAGCCAGAGCTTTCTAGCTTGGAGCCCAGTTTGGTGGCTTAGAAGGAGCCATTTCTTTTATTATTATCTTTTACTCCAAATAAAAGTTTATCTCAGAAGAATTCTCCTTCTTCATCTTCTGAGGCCCTTTTAACACGACACACAAGGAGTTCCTTATTTCTCCCGCCCTTGTCCTTTAGAATGGCTGTCACATCCTCGGTCACGGCTCAGCCCTGCTTGCAGGCCAGCAGCCCTCATCTGGCGGGCGGGTAAGGAGCCCTCAGTGGCCACAGCACCTGCGTGAGTGAGGGTGTGGCATCCGGTGACACGGGACCAGTGACAAGTGCCCCCGGGGCTGCCACAGCCCAAGAACTGATCATGCTGTTCGGATAATTCTACTGGTTGTACGGATGCTGCTGGATGTGGGACGTCCCCGGTTTCTTTTCTTTTGGATGAAGTCAAGCCGGGCAGGTGTGAGAGACTCATTCTGAGAATGTGGGAGACACAGCCGGAAAGCCCACGGCTTCCCACACGCTGGACTGTCCCGTGTCCACCCTCGACTCGTTCTCCATAAACTTGGGTGAAAACAAATCCAGACACATCGTTTCAAGGAAGCCTGGTGCTGGATGGACTTTGGACATCACCCAGCTTTCTCGTCACAGGACAGGGAAGTGAGGTCCAGGGAAGGGCCAGGTGCCCGGGTCACACAGTGGTTGGGGGCGTGGACCGGATCACAGGTGTCTTGGGCCCCCACCCGGTGCTCACCTCGATGGCCCCCAGGGTTACACCCCAGACGAGATGGGATTCCTACAGCCGAGCAGGCTCTGGGGGCGTCACAGGTGCATGGGGAGCAACCAGACAGTGGTGCTGGATTTCACAGCGTTTACAGCTGGCACCTTCGGTGACCTTAACCTTGGCCGGCGCCCTTCAAAGGAAAGGCCCCAACAGGGCTCAACCGTCATGTCTGCTGACTTTATACATTTGAAGGGACAAGGAGGTGGTGGCTTTGGGTGGGACAGGCTATCCTCCCCTGCACACACACCAGGAGAAGTGCGCTCCCGCCCTGCCCCGTGGGCACCAGCACATAATTTACACGCACGGGGGGCATGGGGGGCGATTAGACCAAGTGAACTCCCTTTCCTTCTAATCAAGCAAGCCCGCCGGGCACTTCCTTTCACAGACAAGATATCAGAGTCGAAAACCAGGAGTAAGACGTGGACAGAGAGCTCAGGGTCAGCCTCAGGCAAAGAAAGAAACAGGGGACTTGGCGACCACACAGAGGACATCCCGCTAACCTCCAAAAACAAACTAAGAGATAGTAAAAACTGATAAATCAAAACAGGTAAGAACGCAGAACAAAATAGGACCCAAACCCCAAATCACATGAATTAACAACACAAAATAAACAATGGATCCTGGGGAGAAGGGGTCACTCTCGCAGAGGTGTCTACACTGGCAGGTGGGTACTGATTTTGAGGAGGCGGATACCCAGGAGGGTCCCAACTCATCCCTGCTTGTTAGTGGGAATCCCGAAGATTTGGTCATGAGAGGAAAGGGTCAGGCTTGTTTTCACCCCATGTAAACAGCCGTCTCCGAAGCACACTTATCTTCACAATTCAAAGCTTGAAACAACATGGGTGGACCTGGAGGGTATTATGCTCAGTGAAATAAGTCAGAGAAAGACAAATACCGTATGACATCACCTGTATGTGGAATCTAAAAAAATAGAGCAAATTAGTGACTATGACAAAAAAAAAGCAGATCCACAGATACAGAGAACAAGCTAGTGGTTACCAGTGGGGAGAGGGAACGGGGAGGGGAGATAGGCGTAGGGGGCTAACAGGTACCAACCACTATGTATAAAATAAATAAGCTACAAGGATGTATTGTACAGCACAGGGAATACAGCCAGTACTTTATAATAACTTTAAATGGAATATAGCCTATACAAATATTGAATCTCTATATTGTACACCTGAAACTAATATGATATTGTAAAGCAACTATACTTTAATAATAAAAGAAAATAGTTTAAAACAATGCTTCGCACACCAAACAAAAACAAAAACAACCAACACAAAGCTTGGAATAAATTGAAACTTTACAACCAGTAGCATTATTTGTTCACTTCTCAAAATTCCTATACGAAAACAGGGCTGAGAGATGAACAGCTGAAATGGATGACTTAGCAAATTTCCCTTCTAGAAAGATACACGTCAGATTAGAATGACAAGCGTCACTCAGGTGAGCGTCTCATCGTGAGGGGTCTTTTATTTGGCGGTGGGAGGGGTAACGGGCTGCCAGCCTCCAAGTCTGTCTGTCCACACAGACGCCTGAGGGGACAGTCCTGGCCGGCGGGGGCCCAGGTCACTGACCTGCTACACAAAAGCTCATCCAGCTTTTGGCTTTGGCATCGATACTGTCCCATCTTGTTTGACTTCAGAAATAGCTATGTGATCACTTTAAAAGTAATAGGAAGAGCTTGATAAAAACACAGGCTTTCCCTCTATAACTGAACTTGACCAGGCCTGGTGAGTCACGCGGGCACAGGTGGCAGCCGCCCGCGTGGAACGTGGTCGTAAGAGCCTCCAATCATGCCCTTGATGGTGGGCAGGAGGCTCTGGGGAGCTGCTCTTTGGGGTCAAGGTGTGGATTTAAAGGTTCCCTGCTTTAAATCACAGTTTACATCCACATATTAGTTCCTATTAATTTGTGATAGTTTATCCCACAAGCACCTGATGGGGTGAAGATGGTCTGTGTTTCTATTTCTAAGGGGTTAGACAGAGGCCACAGCCGACTCGTTTAGGGACTTTTTAACCTAGAGATCGCCTTGGGTTCATCTTGGAAACTGAGAGTCCAGGCCGGCCGAGGCTGGGATTGCTAATGCTGGGCCCTATTCTTGGGGAGGTGGCAAGCCTGAGTCTCCCACTGGCCACTCAGATGACCAGTGGGTTGGAAACTGAGGCAGAAAGACGGCAGAGAATCCAGGGGTGGAACGTGGTCGGAAGAGCCTCCAATCATGCCCTTGATGGTGGGCAGGAGGCTCTGGGGAGCTGCTCTTTGGGGTCAAGGTGTGGATTTAAAGGTTCCCTGCTTTAAATCACAGTTTACATCCACATATTAGTTCCTATTAATTTGTGATAGTTTATCCCACAAGCACCTGATGGGGTGAAGATGGTCTGTGTTTCTATTTCTAAGGGGTTAGACAGAGGCCACAGCCGACTCGTTTAGGGACTTTTTAACCTAGAGATCGCCTTGGGTTCATCTTGGAAACTGAGAGTCCAGGCCGGCCGAGGCTGGGATTGCTAATGCTGGGCCCTATTCTTGGGGAGGTGGCAAGCCTGAGTCTCCCACTGGCCACTCAGATGACCAGTGGGTTGGAAACTGAGGCAGAAAGACGGCAGAGAATCCAGGGGCCAGGGCGCACCTTTCCTGTAAAGAACGGCCTCTGAGGAATGAAATGTGCTGTTGAGTGGACTCAGAAAGGATGCTGAGGGGAGGGTAGCTTCCTGACTTTCTAACTTCACCGTTACCAGGGACTGTGGATCAAATGTTGGGTCTCTGGGCTGTTCTGTCCCTCGGCTTCTGCTGAGCAGATTCCGAAAGAAAATGAGATTTTCATGAAAGAGTAATTAACAGCTGCCACTGCAGGTGGTGGAAACATAATTACATTTTTAGGAACATCAGTGAGCTGTACAGACTCCATCTTGCCAAGAACGGATTCTCTCCCCAAACTTCCACTCTTGGGGGCAACTTGCTTGAACGGTGCTTAGTAGGACCACGTTTCTGCATCTCGAGGGAGGTGCACAGTTCTCATCTCCCAGGAACTGATGACTTCCCTGATCTGCTAGACAGCAGTTGTGTGGGTCCTGGGGGCGGGGGTTGGTTGTAATAAGCCAATCCCACCGCAGGATAATCTGACTGGAAACTACGTGAACCATGCTGGGAGTGCACGGGACCCAAGTGGTCGTGGAGACTGGTGTCCTCTGGAGCACTGGGGTTCGAGAGCCCCCTGCGGGTTGACTCACTACATCTGGGGACCCCCTGTCACACCAGCTACCGCCCTACCCTCTGCCTCAGACCTTTCTGTGCCACAGGACTGCCTGGACGGCCTCAGGGCAAAGCTCCAGGTGAGAGATCGAGGGGCGGATGTGGGCAGGCCTGCGAGTCTGGAGCCTTCCGTCACCATGCCAGCCTGCCTTTGTCCGTGGGCTGGGGCAGCAGGAGGGGCCGGCCTCTCC